CAACCACTGAGACTGTCCCCAGCCTAGAGAGGACAGGAACTTATCTCCAGCATGATGGGAACAAGAGGGTGGGATGCTTCTTTCTTTTAACAGTCAAACCCTCAACTTTGAATGAGATTCTACTTCTCCCTGAATTGGGGAGRCTCTCTTGAGAAACTGACTTCCAATTACAGATTACTCCCTCTGATAGACTAACACTAGCATCTGTTAAAAACCAGTAACTGAGCAAAAGGAGACAGAACTAATGAGGTATTTTAAATTACTATGTGTATTCATCCAACAATTCCACAGACTCAGTGTCACAGTTACAAGGTTGAAGCAACAACAAAAGATATGCCCTAAAATTCTGAATTTAGAGATTTATCAAGCACAGCATTTTATGTGCTACAGTTGCTGATATTTTTATTYCCTAGGAACCAGCAACAGCACTAACAGACAATAGTCCAACGTCTCCTAGAAATGAACATAAACATTTTATCATCATCATAATTTAAACATGACGCCACCTGTCCATTCTGGCTCCAATAAATGGGAAAGGTAAAAAATGGAGTATGACTAGAACAAAAAAGGTTATTGGAAAAGTGAGAACACAAACAAAACTTCTTTGTTGAATTCTTGTGAAGAAACATTTAAATGTTCTTCCATTAAATTAATTACAAATCAAATCAATGTGCATGTGACCTCAATTCTGAAAACGGACTGTCTTACTAAGTAACAACATTCATCAAACAACACAGATAGGTGAGAAAGGAAGGATTTGCTGGTCAAACATACTAACTAGTGCAATGACACCTCTAAAAGTTAAGCAGAGACTTTAGAAGTTATGYATAGGAATCACAAGAATACAGTAAGCTTTACCTGGCAATRAGAACTTTTTCATAATCTCCCTTCTCCTATACTTCGAGCCTGTGAGAGTTACCTCAAACAACAATGGTATAAAAGTGATAATCCAACTTTTATTCAGAGCATCTTAAATGTGCAGAAGTAACTTTGGGAATTATGGAGTGYTCTCAGRTAGAAACCAGAACTGTTTCAGGAGACAGGAGCAGGCAGGTGGTTGGTTAAAGATCTGTCATCAGTGGAGGCTCAGACCAGGGGTCTAAACCCTGGCCACTACTTATWAGCTGGAAACCCTGAGTTCCTTCCACAACAGTTCTGAGTGTCATGGAGTGATGGTTACAAAGATTAGATAAGATTATCAATGATCAGTGTCTCTGTGCTCCGTACCATAAAGAAAACTCAAATGCCCACTGTTACTGCAACAGGGACAAGCACTGTGTGCAACAGGCTGGTGTTTAGGGAGGTGCTCAGGCCACCTCAGGGAGCCAGAGAAAGCTTCCCTGATGAACCTAGGTCTGTCTTGGGTTCTAAACCAGGTAAAAGGTCTTTTCAAGTTAAGAAATGTACCAATCAAGAACTTCTACCTAGAAAGACACATGGTACTCAAAAGATACATTTTATTTGATATTTATTCAACTCACAGAAATGTAAGACTAGACATATAAAAGTAGGACAAATGGGTAGCAAAAAAAAATTCAACTAGAAACCCTTTGATTTAAGCAGTCCATGTATGAGTGTGCATGTGCACATGAGTATGTTTAATAAGCATTTTTCCCCTCAAATCACTTTTTAAAGAAGGAAGATACTCYCCTTTGGGTCACAACTAGAACAGAGGAGAATCACAGAACGTCTGTTCACTCCTCTGTGGCACACACTGACCACTGGTAGCACACTCCCCCACCCCCCATCTCACATACACACACTCATTATTAAGCTCCTTGAGAGCAAAGGCCTTCCTGGCACTTGTTCGAGGACAAGTTCCCAATTCTCTGCACACCTTTGGCAGCCCAAGTTGAAGTAAAAGTGTGTGTGCCCCACACTCCCTCCTCATGCCCAGCTGGCTGCTTGGTCAATAACTTCCCATTTGCCTACTCTTCCTGTGAACACAGAAGTGCTCACCAGGTAAACTCACCTGCCTGCCTAGCGACTACCTGTGATTACCCATGGGAACAGGCCAGAGACTGCTTATGGTGGGCCAGAAACATCTGCTTCATAAAGTCAGTCATCCTTGAAGGACTCTGGAATAAGGGAACCCATGATAATGAGGAACAGACCTTTTAACTGGCAGGAAAGCTTAGGAAGGAGGTGAGTAACCTTGTACAAGTTTGTGCATAACTCAGGTTGGTTTTTTTTTTCTTCTTTTTTGGAACTGGGGATTTAACCCAGCTGGGTTAAATTTCCACTGAGTTTTACCCCAGCTGGGTTTTGTTTGTTTGTTTTTTGAGACAGAGTCTTGTTAAATTGCTTAGGGCAGAAGTTGCTGAGGCTAGTCTTGATCTTGCAATCCTCCTGTCTCAGCCTTCCAAGTCACTGGGATTTCASTCATGCTCCAGCATAACTCGGTTTCTTAAAATAGGGATAACAAAGTAGCATTCACATAGTACAAGGAAATGACAATAATTATAACAGCAGCAGCTAACACTAGAATGCTTTCTATGGGTSAAGAACAATCAGAACAATTTCACATGTAATAAGTGAACTAAAGCATAAGCACTAAAAAAATTAGCCATTATTACCTTTATTTTAAAACAATTTATCATTAGGCCCTTGTACCCAACCAAAATCTCACCTAGAACAAAAACAAAACTAACAAAAAGCAGAGCTGTTCTGAATACAGATGGAGTGGGGGAACYGGGTAGATGGGTCCCGCATTCCATCCAAGGCATTCATGTCTCTAAACCCCAACCTCTAAGGACCATCAAGGAGTCTAGTAGTTCCTTATAAAGTGTTTGAAAACATGACCACTGCCACTAAGAGGAACAGTGGTGGAAAGAACAATAGCAAGGTCTGAACCACTCAGGACAGTTAATGACCCTGAAGCAAGAAGACTGAGGACAAAAGTGTGGGGTGCTCACATTCCCTCCTCAAACACACAGGTCTGCCAAGGGTGCTGAGAACAATAAGTTTATTCCAGAATCTACCACCTTCCTGACAGCTGATGGTATCTTCTCTGAGTTTTGAGGCATTGCACTAACCCGACCTTTGGCCTCTTATTTGTCTAATATTATGACAGTGCCTTCCCAGTAATATGGTACACAAATGTTATTAGTCCATGGTTCTCAATATCAAAACACTTTTTAACAAGAATAAGAATGACAACCAATGAACCTCTTTYTATCTCTACTTGCTCTATGGGTTTTCTTTTGTGTTTTTGTTTTTCTGTTTTGTGTTTTTTTATTGTCATGTGTTACTTGGTATCACTTGCTGTTATCTTAAAAGCTAATCTATACCTCTCTCACACAAAAATATTTAGGGGTAGATTAAAAAAAAAATAAAAGCTATCTCCATCCTAGCTTGAGCAATAGATGTTAAAACTGTTGGGTTTTTTTTTTTTTTTTTTTGTCAGTATACCAGCAAAGAAGATAAACTATACTTCCAAGTCCTCAGAGAGCACTTAGGGAGGAAAAAAATCCCATAATCTGATCCTTGAATCACATTGCTTTAGAGAAGTTTCCCATGATCTAATCCTTCAATCACATTCTTCCTCTGCTCCACACCAACTGCAGACCCCCTGTGCTGGTGCAAAGGAAAGACTCTCTCCCTAAGCTCACCACACTGGGACACCTTAAACTTGGTGCAGAGAAAAGAAAAATTCTTGGCAATTATGTTAAGCCCAGAGTAGGCATTTTTCCACCTCCCAAACAGCCTTTTCCAGCTGTGCCCCTACCTGCACTTCCAAAGTTTCTTTCCCTGCCAAACTAAGACAGGAGAAGGAAAGAAAATAACATAATAAAAAGTTCAAATGAATACACCCACAGGAAATATTTGGCTAATTCTATAATAACCCAAGGTGCAGAAAGGTTAAAAAAAATGAKTTCATTCTTCAAACTTTGGAAAGTGGGAGGTAAATCAATCACAGAATTCTAGACTGGGAGGGTTATGGACCCTCAGCTAGCACAACACTCTCATTTTATGGATGAGGACATGAAAGTCCTCAGTGGTGGTGACTTCTACCCAGACACTCTTGATCAAAATGATGTCTAGACTTCATGTCCTGATTCCCTGAAAGGTGCTGTTTCCACTACAACCAACAGCTGGCTGTGTGAATTAAAAGCTCCTGCTGAGACTAAACAGCAATTAATGAGGATACCAGCACCTGCCAACTTGCCATTAAACGCTGCAGTACCTGAAACCCAGACTGCGAATGAGCAGGCTCCCCAAATTCACTAGTGAGCTCACACTCCTGGCACGGCCTCCAGGAAAATACAGAAACGGGGCCCAATCAAACCGAGAAGCAGCACTGATCATTTTCCCTGGAGTTGGCAATCAAATAGAGGTCACAGCTGAGGGACGGGATGGAAGGTGCCCTCCACCTCCGGTCTTGAGAGCTGGCAGGGTCCAGCTACCAAACCAGAGGGGGGGGGGGAGTCGCAGTCACAGGGACCAGACCTGCAGGCGCGACCTGCTGCTATACTGCATTGCTGCTCGGGTCCTTGATGGTTTTTTTTTAAGCCCGAGTTTTCTCGGTTGTTTAGCAAGTCTTGAGTGCTGCGAAGGTGTGGGCCACATCCTCTGCCAGGAAGGCGCGAAACCAGGCGACTTCCCTCCCACAACAACCCAGTGCTCAGAGAGGACCCGGGCCCGGGGTCCAGGCGCCCCGGGGCTGCTCCCGTGGGGCTCGGTCCCCGCCGCTACGGGCCCCCTCCCAGCAGTGACGCTGGCTGTCTCCTTCCAGGAGCCCGCCATCCCCTCCAGGGCAGGCGACCCCACCGCTCGGCCCCAGGGGTCCGCTCCGACGGCCGCCGCCGTCCGCGGGTGGGGCGCCCCYGCCCGCGCCGTGGCGCCTGCCCTCCCCGCGGGGCCGGGGCTCGCGCAGGCTCCAGGGCTGCCGGGACCTCCACCTCTCCGGCGGCGCCAGGTCGGCGGAGGTGCCCGGGACCCGCCCGCACCGCGCCCCCCGCCCGCGCCGCGCCCCCCGCCCCGCCAGGCCCGGCGCCCACCTGCGGCGGAGGCGCGAACCCGCGCCCGCTCCCGCACCCGCGAAGGGTTTTTCGGCGCTGCCATGCCGGCCGCGCGCTGCGGACCGGCGCGCGGCGTCAGCCCGTGGGTCCGTCAGACACGGGGCCGCCCACGGGCGCCCGGGCTCGGTCCCCGCCGCCAGCGGCGCGAGAGGCGGGGGGCGCTGACGGCCGTCTGCGCTCCCTCCCTGGTCACTGAGTGACGCGCCGGGGTACCAATCAGAGGCCGAGGAGCGGGCTGGGGGCGGGGCCTCCGCGCGCCGTCGGGGTCGCGGGCCTGGGCTGCGCAGGGACGTCTAAAGCTCTGCGATGGGTCCGGAGGCTCCTTGCGGCGTCCAGGCGAGGCTCGCGAGGCTGCTCTTGGGGCAGCACTCTGGCAGTTTCACAGGAATAGATCTCATGGTCTCCCTGGCACTTTATTTCAAAGGTCCATGGAGTGGGAAGCAAGTAAACCCCGGGGTGGGGGAGGGTGGCTGAAGGGGTAGAGGGACCAGGGCAAAATAGCGAGTGAGTCCCTTTCCTTCGCCCGTGTATTAAAGCTTGTCAGCCACGGCCCTCCCGAGACTGGAATCCAGACGTAGCTGCCTGCTCAGGGATGTTCCACTAGATAGGCAAATCTAAGGGGAAAGAAAATAGTTTTCTTTCCCCTTGGGTCAGCAGACCAGGCTTAAGCTTACTTAGAACTCACAGTTTACTTTAGGAGCAGAGTAAGTACGTTGTTGACCAAACTGGTCCCTCTTATTAAATGGTTTATGGAACGGAAAAAAATATGGGAGTAGCAAGCAGTAAAAATAAACCATGCAACAATAAAAAGACACAAGGCTCTTTGCTCCTGATTTCCTAATCCGATGGACCCTTTTTTTCAAAAGAAAAAGGAAGAAAATTAAAATCCTGATAAGCCCAACCCTTTTCTCCAAAATATGCAATTCCCAGAGACAAACAGATTTGCATGTGAAATGTCCTGGCCGCTTTCCTAAAGAAAAGTTCCATAACTAAAGAAAGATGTGGAAAACAGTCTGGAAGTTTATGTAGCTTCAGTATCCTTGAGGCAACATCTAAAAGTAACTGAATCTTTTTTCTCCTTGAGTCTCCGAACAAAGTATTAGAGGATCATAAATCTTAGGTAATTCCCGTAAAATCCACATTGGAGCAAAATCAGTTGACGTAATGCCAGACATTTAGGACAGCAGGTATCAAACCGTGTGCATAGACATGCCCTTTACATGTACTATTTCATTAGTCCTCACACTCACCCATGAAGTAGGTACTGTCACAGAAGAGGAAACTGAGTCCCATTAAGTAATAGTGCAGTTTAAATGAGGTGTCACTTCTCAACCATCCAACCATTCTGCCACCCATGATTTACAGAAGATAATAAAAATGTTCCCAAACTCTGCAGTTTGTTTAGCGAGGAAAAAAAACAAAAACAAAGTACTTTTTAATCCAAATCAGATATTTAACTTTGAGGGGTAGTTCTCTACAGCCATAAGCCAGCACTTGTGTGTATAGAGCAATGTTACTTGTACCAAATAAATGACATAAAATTGTTGAGCCTAATTAAACCAAAACAAGGTTATGAGCAGTGGCAAGGACAAATTGTCCATTCTAGAAACTAAAAATACCAGAACTGACTTCTCTTGGTATAATAAAATAAAATTTACTTAACTCCTTTAACCACAAAACAAATGAGCCAGTTTTCCTCCCTCCCACAATATTTATGAACACTGCTGTTTGGATTTGGCCTAAAATCCCTTCAATTAATACACATTAGGTTTTGTGGTTGACTATAATGTTCATTGTTACTCCAAAAGCGGAGTTCAAGGTCTTTTAGTGTCGTACTTAAGGACTTAAACCTTGGAACCAGACTGCCTAGYTTGCCAGCACATCAGCCACATGGTCTTCCATGAGTTACTTAGCGATTTCTGTGTCCCGGTGTCCTAGTCTATGAAACTGGTCTATAAGATCCTCTAATTGATGGTTTTTATAAATGGAGATTAAGGGTTTTATGTATAAAACCTTTAGAATAGTGCTTGACCTATAAACATCATATAAATATTAATTGAATAAAAGACACAATATGGATCCTGGAAGTTTTCTCCCAGTATTATTGCTAAATGTTTTGTATCTTTTCCTATGATCTTCTATAAGATCTTGTGTGTATAGAGCAATGTTACTATAAAGCAATAAATGACTTAAAATTATTGAGCCTAATTATATACAAATGAGGTCAATATACAAATTAAAATTGTTGAGCCTATACAAATGAGGTCAAATATACAAATATATAAGTGAGGTCATTTATATACATAAAGGATAATAATTTCTGCATCTCAATCTAATACTGAGCCAACTAACTAAATTTTCTAAATATCGTCCTTAGTTGCTCAGTAAAGTTCATCTTTTTCTGTCCAGGTTAACAATTACAGCGTCTATAAATAATAAAGCTAATTGTATCTTGTTAAAAAATGCTTTATTAAAAATTACTTTGAAGAAAAAGAAAACATGAACACATGTAAAGATTTCCTGTGGGCTTTTGGGACTGCCCTTGTATGATTCACCACATGTCTGAACAATCACGAAGCTATTGATTGTTTTAAGAGCACTTTCTGGGGTAGAACCTAGTACCCTAGTATCTGACCTAGAATCCCTAGTACCTCACTCAGAGCTTGAGTTTTTATGGTATTTTAATCATCTTTTTTTTTTTTTTTTTTCTGCTCTGACCAAAAGACCTGACAAGCACCGTTTTAGAGGAGGAAAAATTTACTGGGGCTCTCACTGTCAGAGGTCTCAGTTCATAGATGGCCAATTTGCTCTAAGCCAGAGGTGGGTGTGGTGAAGGAAACCAGCTCAGGACAACAGAAAGCAGAGAGAGCTCTGCTCACTAAAGACAAAATATGTACCCCAGAGACATGACCCCTCATTCAGTGACCAAGCTCCTCCACCCCCACCCTATCTGCATACAGTTAACACCCAGTTAATCCATTCAGTTAGATTAACCCACTGTCTAGGTTAAAGCTTTAATAACCCAATCATTTCACCTCTAAATTTTCTTGTATTGTCTCACATGTGAGCTTTTGGGGGACACCTCATATCAAACCATAACAAATGGGTAGTTAAAGACTGAGTTCAGGAAAGACAGTAGAATGAATAAGACCTAACTTTCCTATGTTATATATGAATGCATGACCAGTGTAACTCCACATCATGTTCAACCACAAGATGGGGTCCTAATTAGAATAAGTTATACTCCACGTATGTATAATATGTCAAAATACATTCTACTGTCATGTATAYCTAAAAAGAACAAAAATTTTTAAAGAAGAYTTAAAAAAAAAGATTGAGTTCAGCAAAAACTTCAGTAGAAAGAGACTTATCTGAAATGTTTACACAAATCACACCAAAATATCCACCTAAGAACAACCAAAACCATAGGCAGCGCCTAGCACGGTGCTCAGAAGCCACGGATAATGACCCCAGAGAGTTCAGAATGAACGGCCAGGGCAACAGCTAAACCTCTAATTGGTTGCATGGAGGGTTGTGATCACATCAGAAGAAAGAGAAAATCTGGTCAATAGTTCCTAGCAAGTATTTAATTAGAATTTTTGTTTTCGTAAGGTTTTCTTGACCATTTGAACTTTGAAATGGAATGTGGAATATCCAGAACCATTAAAGACTTAGCAAAATAAATTTTCCATTGCTTTGTCAAACCCTTCATTTCACTCAGGGGTCATTCATTCATATCCCGGCCAGCCTCAGGCTAGGACAAGTTGACAGTGGTTATGAAAACAGTAGCCTTTGTTTGGATAGTTGAAATCTTCACTCCCTTGCAGAGCATGCTGGTAGACTGATGTCCAGTTAAATGTCCTCCTCTCACAGGAAAATKGCCAAGGGAGAAGGTGGACCACTTGCTCTAATTTGCATGCAAGAATGATGCCTGGCAAGTGGAATGCAGTTATCCAGTATTCTCTGGATGACCCCATGGATGAATGCGTGGTGGCAACGAGCTGACTTCCTACAGAGAATCAGTGACATTTTCTAGCCTCTACTCACTTCTGACTGTCTTTATCCAAATTCATTGTCTTTGTATGTGGGAGGGGGAATATACAAACAAAGTTTACCACTTTAGCTACTTTTAAGTGTATTATTTGGTAACTATTTGTACTGTTAAGTAGGTTCACATTGTTGTGCAACTRTCACCAACCATCTGTTTCCAGAACTTTGTTCTTTCCCAAATGGAAACTCCRCACCCAATACATGCTAACTTTCTATGGCTCTCTCCTTCCAGCCTCTGGCAACTACTGTTCTGTGAGTTTGACTGTTCTAGACACCTCAGGTGAGTGAAATCATATGGTATTTGTACTTCTGTGACTGGCTTATTTCTCTTAGCATAATGTTTTCAAAGATCATCCATGTCGTGGCACATGTCAGAATTTTCTTCCTTTTAAGGCTGAATAATATTCCATTGCACATATATGCCACATTTTATCCATTTATTCATCTATCAATGGACATTTAGATTGCTTTCACTCTGTGGCTATTTTGAATAATGCTTCTATGAACATAGGTGCACAAATATCTGTTTGAATCTAGGCTTTTACTTCTTTCAAGTATACACCACAAATGGGGTTGTCAGATCACATGGTAATTCTGTTAACTTTCTGAGGAACAATTATACTATTTTCCAGAGTGGAAAAGATTCCCTCCAGCAACATCTGAGAATTTCAACTGTTCCAYGTCCTCTCCTACATTTATTAGTATTTGCACTGCTGGGGATTGAATCCAGGACCTCACACATATATGGAAAAATGTCTACCAATGAGATATACCCCCAGTCTATACTTATTACTTTCTGGTATTTTTTTGTGGGGGGCACTGGAGATTTAACTTAGGGGCACCTGATCACTGAATCACATCCCCAGCCCTAATTTGTATTTGATTTAGAGACAGAGTCTCACTGAGTTGCTTAGCACCTCACTTTTGTTGAGGCTGGCTTTGAACTCACACTCCTCCTGCTTCACCCTCCGGAGCTGCTGAGATTACAGGTGTATGCCACAACACCTGGCTGGTGTTTGTTGTTTTTTTAATAGTCAACCTAATGTGTATAAAGTAGAATCTCATTCTAG